GAAAATAACAGTAATAAATTCGTCTTTTAATTTCAAACAAGGAACTTTGCTTGCAAACTTAGATTACAGTAACACTATTAAAGTTGTACACGTCGGAAACTTCGTTTAAGTATTTGTAGCAATATCTGAAAGAACTTGTCTTGTTTCACGGATTGGATTCATCATCACCGAGTGTTAACTATTGAAACTTCATCCATGATCTTTTCCACTTTCTTTCGTGGAGGAGACAATCACGAGATACTCATAATTACATAGAAACTTTCAATAACTATTTCAACCTCTAAATAAATATTGAAAGTTTCTATGTGATTACGTCAATTCTGAATTTACTCCTAGGTGAGTGAAATAAGGGTTTAAAGTTTGTATGGAAGTCTATCGTTTTTAATTTCGTTAGTTATATGACGCAACATATAGATGTCAAATTTACAGTTGACGCAAAATAAAAGAGTGATATTTGACCGCTTTCAAATTGTTTTAATGTTCTATTTGATAATGTCAAATACATTTCTTTTATATATTCTAATCAACTTGTCTGGCACCAATTTCATGTAAATAATTAACATCAATTTCTCGACCCAAACAGATTTATGTCAACAATTGTTTTTTTGTTCTGTTTCTCAGTGCCATTACAAAGGAATGAAAAGATTTGAAGATCTATCCACCTGAAGAAGTTTAGTGAGAAATAAAAAAATTACATGATAATTATTCTTTAACTCCAAGGTGAGCCATCAAAATGAAAATTAATTATGTTCTTCTAAAGGTTGCGCCTTTTTTGTTCTTTTTTTTTGCATAGTAAAAAATCTGCAATTGTTTTTCAGTAAGATTTATTTTGAAGTGGGTCGTGTTTTTAGTTGTTAGGTTCACAACTGTTAATTACATTCAAATTAATAAAGACATCATTTCATGGAAACTAAGCTTTTCATTAGATATCAATCTATGTTAGAATTTAAGGCAAAGAATTAGTAAAAGAGTAAGGTCTGAAAAATCAAATACTTGCCTTATTATTATAAATTTTTGTTCTTTTACTTCTAGTCAGTAATGAATAGGATTTGATTTTCTTTTTATTTTGTTTATTAAGGACACAAACAGTGTTGTGGTATCGTCGTTGTCTCAGACACTCCATAATACCCTTGTATTTGCTTTAGCTACTCATCTTGGAATCTGAGCAATCTATGTTAATGATAAAGAAAACCTAACCATAATCGACACTCAAAGATACGTATAATAAAATATTGCCGTCAAAACGAAAGAGTTAAATTAATTATAATTAAAACAAACATTTAAAACAACGACATCGGAAACAATAGCTTTTCTTGTTTAACTTGTAAACTTTAAGAAAGGCGATCCGAATAAAGCTGCTATTGTCATGAAATATATATTTTTGCTCATTAGAGATGGTCCATTGAAGTCCAAACTTGGCTTTGTCAGTAGAGAGCGTGGGCAAATACAAACAAGCGATTTTTGTTGAAATTTTTGCCGCTCAAATAAACAAAGTGACGTTAATTTCCTCAAAACTCTTAGAAAACAGTTTAAAAGTTGAATTTTATCCTTTTCATGTTGTTTAAAGGATTTTGAATTAACCGTTAGTCATTTAATTTTTCATTGATAAAATTCATGCTTACTTTGAATAATGAGAACATCCGTATTTTTGTTTGCCGATGATATTTTTTCCGTCTGCGATGCGGAAGTCAAGCACCTTTTGAAAAGGCCGGTCATAGGATGGGTGACCAAAAATTTATTATCTCAACACGCTATCGTGCTTCGAAATGTGGAGCTATTAGTTCAGCTGCATTTGCAGTAACACCCATCAATCTGCATTGTGTCTGGGTGGGTTACAACGCGTTCTCCCATTCGATTCGATTGCGTTTATAGAGAAGACCTGAGCATAGCACTGGGGACATTAACAGACAGAAAGTCACGATTTTTTTTTATTCAGAACCTGTAAAAGTCGAAACGTTAACCGATCAATCATAACTGAAACTATCACATTCGCGTTCAACGTAGAATAAACATATAGATTCCTTTTCCTAACAGTTTTCTTTGCATAGATTTGCCGCTTTGGTCAATTTCTTTATAATAAAACTCGTGTATGCAGCTGCAGTTACAGATATTGTTATATTGAATATTGATTGAGTACTCTTTTATGATTAAATATTATAAATCCGTACGATTGCACCAAATTGGATTATTCATTTTTATGTATATTTTTTCAGGAAAACTCTTGTATAAAAGAATATTTATTAAAAAATTGCAGACTGGATAAATAAAATATGGCAATACGAAGTTCGTTGGCTCAGTTAATCTACCTATATGTATAAAAATGAAATGCCGAAATGTATGTATGCGCATAACTTTTAAGGTTAAATATTATACAATTCAACATATGTTAGTAATGTTAGTACATTATATGTTGAACTGTGGGCTGCAATTATTTTACTATTAATATAACTACCAGACGATATTCTTTATTGATTTCTGTAAAATTTAGTACTCGTACTATACATGTACTTTAGAGTCTTTCGATCCCGACATGAAATCTAGTCGTATTTTAATATTTAGTTTTGTATTTTTGATTTTTTACAAACTGTTATATTCTTTTAAAAGCTATTAATGCAGTAAGGAATATCTTAAAAATATATTTATAATCTCTTAAGACCGTTATTGTATAATTTAATGGTTAAGGTAAGTAGGAAACGGTAAGACATTCGAAAATATAAATTTCTCCTCCATGTATTATTTTATGTATCTAAATAAAATCATACTGAAAAATTACTTTAAGAGTTTGAAAAGAATAAATTTATTAACATTATAAAGAGACAAAAGATTTGAATGTTTGTTTGTTTTGTTTTGTTTTGAATTTGCTCCGAAACTACCCGACCGATATAAAAAATTCTTTCCCTACGGGAAATATCATACGAGGATGACAGTCTATTATTTACGCGTGCAAAATCACGGAATGCAGTTATATATACATACAGACAAATTTTTACACTATTCAATACAAGTACAGACAAATCATATACAAAAAATAAGTACAGACTAGAAATATCAGACTAAATGTGCTCTCAGTAAGCTTACCTAAATAAAGAATATTTTACTTTTTGTAAAAAATAAACGTTAAATCTTATTTGAACACTCGTTTTTAAATAAAATTAAGATTATTTATTTGAAGAATTTTTAACTGCAGTTTAATATGTTAGTAGATTCACGTCGGTTCCGCAACCAAAATATACAGCACTAGTGGACGCCCGCGACTTCGTCCGCGTGGAAGTCGGTATCCCGTGGGAGTGAGAAGTTTTCCCAGTAAAAAGTACCCTATGTGTTATTCTGATGTATAACCTATATTGCTGTAAAGTTTTATCCAAATCCGTCCAGTAGTTTTTTCGTGAAAGAGTAACAAACATCCATACATCCATACTTACAAACTTTCGCCTTTATAATATTAATAGGATATTTTCTCTGACATCTTCGGTACCTACTCGTGTTTAAAAGTTGTGTTATTTACATAAACTAATGTGCCCTTCACGTTAGAGTTATAAGTGTTGTGACGATGTCCGACTATTATTTCTTTTATCCGACTATTATTGAATAATTATTATGCGATATATTATACCTTTTTCAAGGTTCTAAAAAATCGAGATAATTGTAATTTTAAATATTTACTTTTCAATCATCCATCAATGTCCTTTTTCAAATATACTCCACCAATATCATAGATTTTTTTATCAAACCATCCTCACATTCCAGTTAATAAACACAAACAATAAATATTATACCTACTAAGTAAAAAAAACTTTAAATCATTATTCGTCCGTTGCAAAAGAACTTATTTATTGCGTTTATAGCATAACTTTATGGCATATGAAAGTTTTTTTCTTATAAAGTATGTATATAAAATTGTAATATAATTTTTTGGCTGCACTATTTGTACCTGGCTGGATTTAATGAAATCGAAAAGGCTTAGAATTAATATTTTTATATGATTTCATTGAATTGAATTCCATCCGTTTATAAACAAACTTTATTATATGAATATCTAAAGGTTTTTACTTTGCATTACATACAAAAATTAAAATTATAGTGATTTATCATCTTAGTTTTAAAATATTAGTTTATCACAATACTCTAAACTACTAAACTCTTATGTTTAAAAAAAAATATTCCAATCATTAGAAACACCTTAAGTATTATAGTTTAATATTAATGTAACCTTAAAAATATATGAACTAAAGGAAATGACAATAAAATGAGTGGTGTTTTATGACGGATAAATTGAAACATCTCCATTTAGTTATGATTTAAATCATTCCGATAATCTATATAAGAAAAATAATAATTTATGTTCAAAAGACTGTTCTGTTTCAGATAATTAATTTGATATAATACTAAGCTTAGTTTGGTTTACATAATACAAGGATGATTCATGATAATCAGATAATTTTTAAGGGGGATGAACATAAAAATTATATGGGCCGAAATCTCTGTCATTTAATAACTATGACTGTTTTCCGTTATAAAAGATGTGGCTATTATAATATTTATAATATCCTTTTACAGTTTCATTGTATTTAATATTTTTTCTTAACAGAATCGAGTCATATAGGTCAATTCACACCCTCATTTTAAAAATAACTAATAACTACATCACTGTCAGTTTTATATAACTATAAAATAGTTTGATATATATTTTCATTCATAATTTCAGTTTCTTTTTTGTTTCTTAATCAGAATATCAGTTATGTTAACAGATAAAATTTAATATATGACGAAAAGAATTAGTTTGACCGTATTACTAAAATATTCGTTTAAATATAAATTAATCAATTATATCTTATCTTTTTCATATAAATGATTGATTCAATATCAAAAACCAGAAAAGTATTTTTATTCCTATCAACATTACTTATCAAACTTTACAAAGAACTTTTTGGCTACGTAAGGTTTCGTAAATAAAATTTTAAACGATCAAACAGAAAAATCTTATGCGAAACTAAACTTACTTGCAAGTTGTTGCGACTTGTCTCGAGTCCACTTCACAATTGCAAAACAGTGCGCGTTGCGCGCGCTTTCAAACTGAAATGACCCGATACTTAGTTACGCGTCCATTTATATGTGGGGCCGCCAAACAGGCGCGTAGCGGTTGGCGCTACGCCTCGCCCAACGCGTAGGCGTGCGTAGGCTTCAGCCTACGGTGCTACGGCCCAACATACTACGAATGGGGATAGCTTTTAGGTATTTCATTTGTATAGTAAATATACATTATATACATTCAAACTCTACGTATTAATACTTTACCTATACGTTTTGTAATTGAAAGATATGAAATAATTTATTTATTTTTGATTTCATAATACTTAATATAAAGTACTACGTTGGCAGCAATAATTTTGAATGAAAATACATTTTGATGTTATTTTAAAAGAACCCTTTTCACTACCGGCCCACAAGAGGGGTGTTATAAGCTAAGCCGCTATGTGTGTCTGTTTGTGGCACCGTAGATCCTAAACCGACGTAGACTGATGAGAAACCGATATAGAGGTGGACCGATTTAGATGCAATATTTTCTTTTTTTTTATCATTGACTAATATTATGGGGAAAAAAGTGGGGATGAATAATCGAATATTGCCTAATATATACTATAATGGGTCATTAAATGAAAAGTAATAACGTTTGTATATTACAAACTTAACAAAGTTATTTTTTTAATAAAAAATAGATTAGAAATCTTGAACGCAAATACATATGTAATAATTGTTACGCCATTTGATATACAACTTATAACAAATATATTAGAATAAAAAATAAATGTGTTAAGAACTTATTTTTTTAAGACTGCCAAGTACCAATCATGTACGAGGGTCAAACTGAAAGTTCTTAGAACTGGCCACTTATAAACAATATAACAAAAAAATAATTCTAAAATTTGAAAATATAACTCTTTGCCAATATTACTGAGTATATATTTCATTCATTTGTCATTTGTTTTACGATTTGGCGGCAAATTGAAAATTGTCTGTGTCACGTCATCATGAATTTAACACGAGAAAATTTTCGTGCAATGATTTTTTATGACTTTCGATGTCATTTAAGTCAACAAGAAAGTTATGATAGACTACGATTGGCCTTTCACGATGAAGCCCCATCTCGTGCGACTGTTTACAACTGGTTTAATGAGTTTAAACGTGGTCGCACTAATCTCACTGATGATTTACGTGAGGGACGGCCTTCTACGGCGACGACTGAAGATAACATCTGTGTTGTGCGGCGTATGATAGAGACTGACAAAAGAGTGACCTATCAACAGATTCGGACAAGCTTAGGCATCGGTATGAGTCAAGTGCACAAAATCCTCCACGAACATTTAGCGGTCAGGAAGCTTTGCGCCCGGTGGATACCTCATAATTTGACTGAGGCTCAAAAACTCCATCGTGTGGATTGGTGTCGTAAAATGATTGAAAGATTTAACGGAGGTGACTCAAATGCTGTGTTCGACATACTAACAGGTGACGAAAGCTGGATTTACTGTTATGATCCTAAAACCAAAAGACAATCTGCTCAGTGGGTGTTTCCTTTCGAGGAGTTGCCAACTAAAGTGAAGAGAGATCGAAGTGCGGGAAAAAAAATGGTGGCCTCGTTCTTTGGAAGGATAGGTCATTTTGCAACAATTGTGTTAGAGGATCAAAAAACAGTTTCTGCAGAATGGTACACTACCAATTGTTTGCCACTTGTCTTGGAAAAAGTTCGAGAGAAACGACCTCGCAGTAGGATCCTCCTTCACCACGACAACGCCTCGTCGCACACCGCCAAGCGAACGATCGACTATTTGGCGACATCAAACGTTGAATTACTGGGTCACCCGCCGTATAGCCCCGACCTCGCGCCTTGTGATTTTTATTTATTTCCAAAAATTAAAGAAAAACTTAAAGGAAAGCGGTTTATGAATGCTGAAGAAGCGGTGGCTGCGTATCGCGATGCCATTGAAGAGACCCCTAAGGACGAGTGGGCAAAGTGCTTTTCCCAGTGGTTCCATCGCATGCAGCGGTGTATTGACGTGAATGGACAATATTTTAGAGATATAATAAAACTAATAACTGGCTAATGTAATCAGTTTTTGATTTTCTAAGAACTTTCAGTTTGACCCTCGTATGCCCATGAATGGTTCCGCTGTAGATAGCATTAATTAACAAATATTACCTTGATTTCAAATAACGGTAGTATAAATGACAAAGTTATATTTCCAGTTGGCTATAGATCCCAAAAAACTGTAGCTTTCTTTAAACAATTTTGTAGCCACTAAACAGATATTAAAAGTTTGCAATTTTTATTAGAATATGTTAGCGGTCATAAAATATAACGGGGGGGGGGCATTAAATATATTAAAATAAAACTATATTTCATAATAATTATTATCAAACATAACTCTATTTATTTTCAATGCGACTGAAATGTTTATCCATTACTTCTTTCATTTGCTAAGTAATCTAAGCAGACTGACCCAAAAGTAGGTAACTAGATTTTCTTGGGATAATTATATTTTTTTCCAATCGACGACGTGTCTGGTTAACCGAAAAAGACTGACCGAACATTTTCAAGCCTGCAAACATTTGGCCAATATCAAGCTGATATATAAATTAGTGACTAAGTTTATCTGGCTCTAAATCTGTGTCTGTTTGATTTCAACGCAAATTGGGAGATTATACAAAATAAGACTAGTTGTTTCCCCGTGACTTCGCCCGCATATTTTATAACTTATAGTTGTGACGGGTTCGATGCTAGGGCGAATTAATGAAAAGCTGACTAGCTTGAGAATTGATTTATTTTATGGTAATAATGAGTAAAGAAAAGCAACTGTATCAAACAAGAAATGAATATAAAAACAGTTCGTATGTTACCTAAATATATATATATGTGTGTATAAAATGATTTTCATGAGCTATAGTCTGTTTCATATAGCATGAAAACGGTGACGTTTGTTAACAAAGCCATTTGACGCAAACAAAATTTCGGGTTGTTCCGTATTCATCCTATGACGTCTCATCCTATGCATTATTTTTTCCTTACTCATCCTATCGGTGTTCTTAGCTCATCCCAATTTTAAATCACGCAAAAAATTTAAGAATTTTGTGTACGGTCTGAACAAAATATTATCTTTTAATATAATCTGAGTTAATTGTTGCTCTATATAAAATAAAACAGCAGGAATTCTGAAAGATATAATAAGAGATAAATTTAGTATTCACAATGCTTTATTTAAAATTTTCTTTCAAATAATGTCTTTAAAAATCGTAAGTTTTAATGAAAAAGAATACAAATTATATAAAATTGTTAAAAATTCACTTAACATTAAGGAACCCATATGTTTAATAGCAAGAACAAAGAGTAATAGGCAAAACAAAATCAATCATAATAGTTATGATTGATTTTGTCGTTTCTATAACTGACTAGACAAAATCAACTGCATTTTAAAAATCATCTACAAAATCACGGATTAAAGAACTATTAACTCGCCAAAGATTTGGATTATAAAATGGTTTAGAATTTTCTTAACATAGAAATAAAAACTATATAAAATTTTGTTGATACAATTAACAACACAATTATAAACTATTAATAATTAATAGAAATAAAAAATTAACTACAATTATATTTTTTTTTATAAAATCACAAATTATAATTTAACAATTTAAATTATACTGGTTTAAAGGTAAAGAAGAGGAATGGTCAGTGAATACAAAGACTTTATCTATAGCTCTTGTGAATAATAGTTATAGAACAATAAATACAGACTCACGACAAACGGCACTACAAAAAAATGCAAATGATCTTCTTTTTCGCATTGCGATTGTTAGGGATGAAACGATACGAATAAATACAAATACTTCTTCGATACGTTTCCTTTGATACCAAGTAATTTTGGTATCGATACTCTAGAACCGATTAACAAAGTACTACTTGTGAAGTAAGTATTTTTATCGGTACTTGGTCGGTCACTTACTAAGGAGAGCCAAAAAACTCACGTGCATAAGACTGTTTACTCTGTGGTAATGTGTCTAAAGTTTGTCTCATAAAAAAGTACCAAAGGCGCGAAATCGCTGTCGTATGACGAAGCATTGTTAACCCCTACTAATTTTATGTAGTTAGAGATCTATCTACAGAAGGTACTGCTAACAAAATTTTGAATTACTATATAGTAATTAACTATATAGTGTTGAATATTCATCACTATATAATCTTTATTCATTGATTCTTTTCCATCCATCTGTGCCCCAGTTGTGGGGACACTAAAAGGCTGACGATGATGGAGTAAGTACATATTTTATAAATAATAGTTTTTATTTCTAATATGTACTAGATAAGGATATTTATCGTATACATTATTATTTTTTTCGTAAAAATATTAAACGTTGTTTTGCTATCCATACTTTTTAGTAATATTTGCTTCAGGATGAGTAAGAAATACGCGTTTAGGATGACTTAAGAAAAATATTCATAGGTTGAGTTAGGAATACAGAGTTTGGGCGGTGTCTGACAACCTCCTCGTGGTGCACCCCGGGCAACGTGGCTGCTCAAAGTATCTTTGAGCCGCCACGGCTGATGTCAGAACTAGTGAGGGAGCCCGTCAGGCGTCCTGGACTTATTCCGGGTAGCGGCTGACGGGCTGGGAGGAGGAGGGTTTGACCCCTTCGGGTGGGTCGTTGTTGGCCCTTTTCAGGGCCGTCGTGAGGTGCGTAGGGGGGCGGTAAGACCCAGTTTCGGGTCGCTCTCTGGGGCGTTTCCCTTTTAGGGAGTCTTGCGAGCCCGTCAGGCGCCCTGGACTTATCCCGGGTAGCGGCTGACGGGCTGGGATTGTTGGCCCTTTTCAGGGCCGTCGTGAGGAGCGTAGGGGGGCGGTAAGACCCAGTTTCGGGTCGCGCTTTGGGATGTTTCCCTCTTAGGGAGTCTTGTGAGGTAGGTTCTGGGTCGGCGTCCTGACCGTATGTCAGGTAGCGGCGACGCAGTCCGGGCTGGACGGGCGTCTCGGGAATGACCCGAGCAGCGGCCGTGCTAGCGAGGGCGGTGGGCCTGCCGTGTCGTGG